ATTTCATGTTTTTCTGAAATATGTAATAAAATTAGCTTGCTATTGTGGAGAGCTGTTCATTCTAGCCAATAACTTTTTCCAATGGAAACACGCTCCATAGGAAATTTGCAACTGAATCTACAGATCCTCCCAAAATCCAGGCAGAAATTGTGAGCCAAGAGTGGCATTAGAAGAATCAGTTAAGAAAAACTGATGACACTACTGAAACAAAAATGTGATGCCTTTAGAAAGGAATATGTTATAGACTGCAAACTACTCTGTAGCTATTGCCATAATGGGAAGCCGTGGCATCGTAAGTAGGAGATATAGCATGGTGGGCTCGTCCTTGGGCATGCAGGGGGCCTGCAGCCTTTCGCTAGCTGGCCCTCCCCAGTTTATGAGAAAAGCATCCGTAAGCTGCTGGATTGGTTGCAGTCCCTCCACCTCCTCTGAAGTGCATCCTCCACCATGTCTGCAAGATGAGAGCTGGGACAACACAGCAGCTTTGGTGATGTTCTGCTGGGTGATACTCTTTGGTATTTTCTGACAGTAGAAAAAGGGCAAATTTGTATACTTTGTCACTGTATGCAAGTTCTTGAGGTGCCACATGAGCAAGGACAAACAGCAGGGATGGGGGTTACAGGTCTAATCCTGCTTCAGAGAAGTGTGTTTGGCTCAGTGCTCAGTGGGATGACATGGGGCCAGCAGCTAGCACTTTTGGAAAACCCTTCCTTACATTTTAACTTCACTGCCCTGGTGACCTGATGCGGTAAGTACCCTGCTTTGCCCCTCAGGGACCTAAGGACACTTAATCTCTCAGAAGAAGGGGCAAACACTATAAATTATTTTCCCCAGATAGCATCTTTGATTGCTGCTAAGGAGGCTATGAGGCTTTTGCTGTCTTCTGAAGCAAAATCAGTGAAGAATGTCACCAAAGATGACACCTTTCTGGTGGTAAACTAACTGCTATTCCTTTTTATTTTCTGTCATCTGAAGCACATCAAACACTTCATGAACATGAGGTTGCTCTTTCTGGAGTTGTAAACCCAATGCACAGCAGCACACCACTGCTGAAGAAATAAAGCAAGAAAAACTCTTATCCTCACTTAACTGGTTTGTCCTGTGACTTCAGTGAGTCTTTAAGTATAGTCTAACCCTGATAATTTTCAGTAGTTATCGAGTACAAAACTTGATTATCTAAATGCAGCAGGTGCAAGCAGAACGTGATTTACCAATCCAGAATAAATAGTTTTCATACCAAAATGGTGCAACCCTACAAGACACACGGTCTAAAAACTAATAGCCTCATCACAAGATCATAAAAAGTAAAAATTATTAGGCAATACAAACGTCATTTGTTACTTGCAGCATGTCATAATTCCCAATTTGGTCCCAGGAGAAGGGTCTATGGCATTGTAAAACAACAGGGAAACAGCTTCAGAGGAAGCAGCATTCCCAGGATTAAATTACAGCCTTAATCGAGTTCTGTGTCCTATACATGTTTATGAGGGTGTCACAAGCAGTTATGGTCCGAGTTTTTTATACGTAACCCTTCTGGTAAGAGAGAGTTACTAATTGCTCTGTGTACACTGTCAGATGTTGTTTGCAGAAAATTTACAGTAATTTACCAAACGGACTGTGAGATAATTTTACCTCAAGCATGTTAAGCAGAACCACGCTCAGGCTGAGCTAGCATTGGAGTGCAGGGTTTATTGGACAACAAGTCAAGCATGAGGCAGCAATGTGCCCTTGTGGCCAAGAAGGCCAATGGTATCCTGGAGTGCATGAGGCAGAGTGTTGCCAGCAGGTCGAGGGAGGTGATCCTGCCCCTCTCCTCAGCCCTGGGGAGGCCTCACCTGGACTACTGGGTCCAGTTCTGGGCTCCCCAGTACAAGAGAGACATGGCACTCCTGGAGAGAGTCCAGCGGAGGGCTACCAAGATGATGAGAGGGCTGGAGCACCTCTCCTATGAAGAAAGACTGCAAGAGCTGGGCCTGTTCAGCCTGGAGAAGAGAAGATTGAGAGGCGATCTCATCAACGTGTACAAGTATCTGAAGGGGGAGTGTCAAGAGGATGAGGCCAGCCTCTTCTCCGTGGTGCCCAGCAACAGGACAAGAGGCAATGGGCAGAAACTGAAACACAGGAAGTTCCATCTGAACCTGAGAAAAAACTTCTTTACTGTGAGGGTGACAGAGCATTGGACCAGGTTGCCCAGAGAGGTAGTGGAGTCTCCTTCCCTGGAGATCTTCAAAACCCGTCTGGATGTGATCCTGGGCAATATGCTCTAGAGGGCCCTGCTTGAGCAGGGAGGTTGGACTAGATGATCTCCAGAGGTCCCTTCCAACCTAAACCATTCTGTGATTCTGTGATAATTAACACAAAGAGGTTTTGTTGGTTTGACTGAAAAAAGAGAGAAAGGTTTCTCACTAGTGATTGCTAATGAACTGTGCATCACAAATAAGACGGTCATTACCCCTCCCACAGTAAGTCTATAGGATGTTTTAGGACAAAGATAGCCAGAAGAAAAATTTGAACATAATTTTTTTCTAAGTTCCCTAGGAGTAGCTAGTGTATCTGTAGGCAGCACAGGCAGATCCACAGAGGAGAAACAAGCTCCAGCCAAGGGCCAGGCAGAGATGCTGGAGGCTGCCAGAGCTGAGGGCAGCAGCTTGCTCTGCAGACTCCTGGGAAGTTTTCTGCGATTCTTCCTGTAGAAAAAATATCCACCATGAAGAGCTTATAGACCAAGTGGAAATACTATTTATACTACACATATGTATACGAAAAGATGTGATTTCTAGGGATGAGATGGAAGAAGGTTGGGGCAAAAAGGTCTTTGCTCATTTGATTCCTTGGGACCAGGGTATTGGCCTTATTAAGAGCTGCTGCACTCTGCTTGTCCTGTACAGGGTTGCACTGTGAGCTAATTAGCTGAGCTATGGCATTTGGATTCATAACGTAAAAGAGTTTGCAATGTTTTAACACATGAAAAGATAGACATTACCTTGCACATGAAGCCTTTATTTCCTGATAAGGTCTCATATATTCAGCTCAGAAAAAAATCATAGGAAAAGCTGAAGAACTGAAAACACTAATTTCTGCAAAAATGGTGAGAGATGATAGGTAATCTAATGAACCTAACAGTCAGAGTGAGATTTTGTATTTGAACAGAAAGGGAGGCAACAAACTTTTCTGAGGATGAGACTTTGGTAAATTTGCTATAATATATAAAGAAAAAAATGGTACCCTGTCTTTGCAACAAAATCCAGGTTGAGAGTATGGTTCTTAAGAAGAGAGGATAAAAATATTTTTTTGGAAATAGAAGCACATGAATAATTTTTTTACAAAGAAATGATATGTGCTAGAGGTTAGTACAGTTAGGGCAGACTTGCCACAAGGATGTATGTCTGTCTTTCTCATTACCTCTTCAATAGTAGCACCTACTAGTGCTGCATATTTTCGCACCCAGGTCCCACTTGGATCTCTCCCTGAAATAGGTAAAAGGTAAAAAAAATCCTCGCAAGTTGTGAGATATGAAACTAACACGGAAAGACAATTATCAGAATTTGAATGCAGAATAATATTACAATTTAAACATTATTACTTATGGGTTTAAAGAATTCATATAGCAAAGTTAAGAGTTTATAAAACAGGTAAACTCTGTATGGAAAAGGCCAAAAGAGCAAAGCTTAGTTTCTACTCAGAAATACCTTCAAGATTTAAAGTAGTAGCAACTTAGGAGGAAGAGTCAAAGTTAGGGAAAAGAGACAAAGAGAAGCTCCTTGGGAGACATGGCCCCAGAAGGAAACTGGAATAGGAGGTCTTCTCTAACCAGATGGGAAAAGTATTTGCAAAGAAGTGGCAGGCGCAAAGCCAGGAGACCAAAAGCTGAAGTGCAATGGATTTGCTGAGCTGCTCCAAGAACAGTTATGATTTATGTACACTAAGAGAACTAATAAATGGGGGAAAATGTGGCCAAAGCAGAGAATAACATTCACCTAGAATTAATGGCATTAATTGCTGATGAGCAATCTGCTCCAGCTGGCCCTCCTGAGCAAGGGGGTTGGACTACGGGATCTCCAAAGGTCCTTTCCAACCTCAACCATTGCGTGGTTCTGAAACCTGTGGGGGAAATGCCCTTTCAGGAGTCACTTTCCAGAAGGGCAGCAGAAATTGGATCAGAGGGCCTACAAAGAAATGTGAAGTGCCTTGTCAGCTGGAGTTTCATTAATTTACTTTACAGAAGACATTCCACTGCACAGACTTCAAATATAACTTAGCCTACGCTCTTCAAAGTGGCCAGTGGTGTCAGCACTGGGATCTGGAGAGGTCTTTCCTGGCCTTTTTGATAGATGCCACTTCACACTCCAAAGCAAAGGCATCCAGGTCCCCCAAGGCAATTGGGAAAGTGGCAGTGGTGGGGCAGGGGGCTGTGTATTTGGGGGTTTTCACTGGTATAGACACTGCTGCTGAAGCTGGAAGGACCTCAAGCACCAGCCCAACTCCTCTTGTGTCCCCAGAAGCTATAGCCTCCCACCAAAACAACCAGGACATGGGAAAGCAGCTTTTAGAGCCAGAGAAAAACTTCGAGACCTTCCCAAGGGCAGGAACAGGTGTTGAGTGAGTGAGGACAAGACCAGTGAGCAATAGGGGTCCTTGCAGGAGCAACCATCAGTGCTTCAGGCACTCCGCTGCAGTCCCAGACAGTAGTCACTGCAATGGCACATCGTTAGAGGTGCCGGAGACCAGGAGACTGCCCTGAGCTGCCGGCGCCCCGGGCACACACCCCTGGGCTGCCCCACGGCCCCGCCGGCGTGTCACAATGTGCCGCGGTGGCATCGCCGTGACCCTGGCCACGGCCACCCGCG